TTTTTTTTTTTATATTTGAGGATATATATGAGATTGGTGCTAATTAATTTATTATTTTCTTCGGCTCATATTGGCTCTTCAGCCTCTGCATTATCTTCTTGAATATATATTTTTATATATATTGCACCATCATTTCATGACCATAATAATATAGCATTATGAAATGGCTATTAATTATATATATATTTGTCACAAATTGAATTGTTTGTAACTTTTACAAGGTCAATCATGTTTTTTATTTGTAATGGTTGTAATGTCATACACTGTTGATATTGGGATTTGAGGCTCGAATCTATCTCTTGTTTTGGAAAATGATTTGGTTCAACGGATAGCGGATATCATGGATAAGTATACAAATGTGATGAGTCGAGTATTAACCTTATTGAGTTAGTAGCTGTACGAGTTCGATCGTGATTTCGATGCGGTTGAATATTTTAAGGTTCGACTAGGTTGATAGAGTATAAATGTTTGAGATTGGTTTAAATCTAACATTCTTTCAAATTTTGCTCGAGTTTGACTCGAAGTTTCAATTAAAAAATGTGGAATGTTGGTATCTGGATAATTTTATAAGCATTTGATGAAGGGCTCGTCGACCATTCAATTGTAAAATTGCAGGCTGAGTTCACATTCAAAATGTCTATGCTCGACTGCTAGCTGGTGAGCTGCGAGAAAGCTGCTCTGTTCTTATGTGCGAATTAACTCTAGATTGGGATTAAATCTGCAATGCCATGAATTACCTATAGACTCGAGCTCCGATGATACCAACAAAATACGTCTAGAGGGGTTCTGGCGGAAAAATATTTGACGCTCAATTAGAGATATGGTTTGTGGATTATGAATGGTATATTATTCCGAGTAAATTGCATCAGATTTCCTTTTAGAAGGTTGTCTTCTTACCCACGCTATTTGATTATTAGGAAAGAGATCTTCACATATCTCGTTTTATCAACATATAAATATAAAATTATAATGTTTGTCCCAAAAAAAAAAATCAAAAACAAAAAACACATTATAATATTTGTCAAATTTTATCAATGAACATAATCTTGTGACGTTATTAAGCATTGACAAAATCAATTGGCTGCACGAAATGATTGGATGAGCTTAACTTTGAACCTATTAATTTGTAGTTAGGTTTTAGGTAATTCTCCTAATTAAATTCAGCTTTCATAGCTGCCATCTCATTAATTAGTGTGGCAATTGTACGTGGACTAAAAATACTTGTTTGTATTAATTAGGGCCCCAATTACATTTTCCGAAAGTACCCTACATACAACTATATATGGAGATTGATATTTGGCACGTTTCATGTTCGTGGGACCGTACTCGTCAATCCCGTTTCTTACAAGGTCAAAAGGAAAAGTTGTATCAGTTGCCGACGCGTTTTCTTTTCATTTGCCTTGATGAAAGAAAAGAAAGAAAAAATGACAGGTAATTAACAAAGAAAAGTTCTTGTTTTTTGTTGGAAAATTCGATCTTGTGCACACACAAAGATTTCTATCGATCGATCATATGCGTACAAACATATTCATACGTGTTTGTGTTCGTCCAACGGTAAGGTTGAAATTTTCGGTTTTCGATTACACCCTCGTGTGAAATTTAAGGCACCATTAAAAAACAAAATTAAAACATATTCCTTCAAACAACTTTGGAAAGATGTCCAAATAATCAACTGACTGA